GACTTCAGAACTGGACTGATCCACTTTCTTAGTGTTGGTGAGGAAACAGTGTAAAGACTTCAGAACTGGACTGATCCACTTTCTTAGTGTTAGTGAGGAACCAGTGTAAAGACCTCAGAACTGGACTGATCCACTTTCTTAGTGTTAGTGAGGAACCAGTGTAAAGACCTCAGAACTGGACTGATCCACTTTCTTAGTGTTAGTGAGGAACCAGTGTAAAGACCTCAGAACTGGACTGATCCACTTTCTTAGTGTTAGTGAGGAACCAGTGTAAAGACCTCAGAACTGGACTGATCCACTTTCTTAGTGTTAGTGAGGAACCAGTGTAAAGACCTCAGAACTGGACTGATCCACTTTCTTAGTGTTAGTGAGGAACCAGTGTAAAGACCTCAGAACTGGACTGATCCACTTTCTTAGTGTTAGTGAGGAACCAGTGTAAAGACTTCAGAACTGGACTGATCCACTTTCTTAGTGTTGGTGAGGAACCAGTGTAAAGACTTCAGAACTGGACTGATCCACTTTCTTAGTGTTGGTGAGGAACCCGTGTAAAGACTTCAGAACTGGACTGATCCACTTTCTTAGTGTTAGTGAGGAACCAGTGTAAAGACCTCAGAACTGGACTGATCCACTTTCTTAGTGTTAGTGAGGAACCAGTGTAAAGACCTCAGAACTGGACTGATCCACTTTCTTAGTGTTAGTGAGGAACCAGTGTAAAGACTTCAGAACAGGACTGATCCACTTTCTTAGTGTTGGTGAGGAACCAGTGTAAAGACTTCAGAACTGGACTGATCCACTTTCTTAGTGTTGGTGAGGAACCAGTGTAAAGACTTCAGAACTGGACTGATCCACTTTCTTAGTGTTAGTGAGGAACCAGTGTAAAGACTTCAGAACTGGACTGATCCACTTTCTTAGTGTTAGTGAGGAACCAGTGTAAAGACTTCAGAACAGGATTGATCCACTTTCTTAGTGTTAGTGAGGAACCAGTGTAAAGACTTCAGAACTGGACTGATCCACTTTCTTAGTGTTAGTGAGGAACCAGTGTAAAGACTTCAGAACTGGACTGATCCACTTTCTTAGTGTTAGTGAGGAACCAGTGTAAAGACTTCAGAACTGGACTGATCCACTTTCTTAGTGTTAGTGAGGAACCAGTGTAAAGACTTCAGAACAGGATTGATCCACTTTCTTAGTGTTAGTGAGGAACCAGTGTAAAGACTTCAGAACTGGACTGATCCACTTTCTTAATGTTAGTGAGGAACCAGTGTAAAGACTTCAGAACTGGACTGATCCACTTTCTTAGTGTTAGTGAGGAACCAGTGTAAAGACTTCAGAACAGGATTGATCCACTTTCTTAGTGTTAGTGAGGAACCAGTGTAAAGACTTCAGAACTGGACTGATCCACTTTCTTAGTGTTAGTGAGGAACCAGTGTAAAGACTTCAGAACTGGACTGATCCACTTTCTTAGTGTTAGTGAGGAACCAGTGTAAAGACTTCAGAACAGAACTGATCCACTTTCTTAGTGTCAGTGAGGAACCAGTGTAAAGACTTCAGAACTGGACTGATTCACTTACTTAGTGTCAGTGAGGAACCAGTGTAAAGACTTCAGAACTGGACTGATCCACTTTCTTAGTGTTAGTGAGGAACCAGTGTAAAGACTTCAGAACTGGACTGATCCACTTTCTTAGTGTTAGTGAGGAACCGGTGTAAGACTTCAGAACTGGACTGATCCACTTTCTTAGTGTTGGTGAGGAACCAGTGTAAAGACTTCAGAACTGGACTGATCCACTTTCTTAGTGTTAGTGAGGAAACAGTGTAAAGACTTCAGAACTGGACTGATCCACTTTCTTAGTGTTAGTGAGGAACCAGTGTAAAGACCTCAGAACTGGACTGATCCACTTTCTTAGTGTTAGTGAGGAACCAGTGTAAAGACCTCAGAACTGGACTGATCCACTTTCTTAGTGTTAGTGAGGAACCAGTGTAAAGACCTCAGAACTGGACTGATCCACTTTCTTAGTGTTAGTGAGGAACCAGTGTAAAGACTTCAGAACAGGACTGATCCACTTTCTTAGTGTTGGTGAGGAACCAGTGTAAAGACTTCAGAACTGGACTGATCCACTTTCTTAGTGTTGGTGAGGAACCAGTGTAAAGACTTCAGAACTGGACTGATCCACTTTCTTAGTGTTAGTGAGGAACCAGTGTAAAGACTTCAGAACTGGACTGATCCACTTTCTTAGTGTTAGTGAGGAACCAGTGTAAAGACTTCAGAACAGGATTGATCCACTTTCTTAGTGTTAGTGAGGAACCAGTGTAAAGACTTCAGAACTGGACTGATCCACTTTCTTAGTGTTAGTGAGGAACCAGTGTAAAGACTTCAGAACTGGACTGATCCACTTTCTTAGTGTTAGTGAGGAACCAGTGTAAAGACTTCAGAACTGGACTGATCCACTTTCTTAGTGTTAGTGAGGAACCAGTGTAAAGACTTCAGAACAGGATTGATCCACTTTCTTAGTGTTAGTGAGGAACCAGTGTAAAGACTTCAGAACTGGACTGATCCACTTTCTTAATGTTAGTGAGGAACCAGTGTAAAGACTTCAGAACTGGACTGATCCACTTTCTTAGTGTTAGTGAGGAACCAGTGTAAAGACTTCAGAACTGGACTGATCCACTTTCTTAGTGTTAGTGAGGAACCAGTGTATAGACTTCAGAACTGGACTGATCCTCTTTCTTAGTGTTAGTGAGGAACCAGTGTAAAGACTTCAGAACTGGACTGATCCACTTTCTTAGTGTTAGTGAGGAACCAGTGTAAAGACTTCAGAACTGGACTGATCCACTTTCTTAGTGTTAGTGAGGAACCAGTGTAAAGACTTCAGAACTGGACTGATCCTCTTTCTTAGTGTTAGTGAGGAACCAGTGTAAAGACTTCAGAACTGGACTGATCCACTTTCTTAGTGTTAGTGAGGAACCAGTGTAAAGACTTCAGAACTGGACTGATCCACTTTCTTAGTGTTAGCGAGGAACCAGTGTAAAGACTTCAGAACAGAACTGATCCACTTTCTTAGTGTTGGTGAGGAACCAGTGTAAAGACTTCAGAACTGGACTGATC